CTGCTGAACAAGTTCCTGAGCTCCACTTCGGGCTTCAGCTGGTTGCTCATGATTTCTCATCTCAAGACATGTAAAATTTAGAATAGCATTGTGTCGTGAGAGCATCCTTGCTATGGGTCTGTATCCATCTCTATGGTCTAAGTTGTAATATCCTGAAGTAAGTTCTGCTGCATGGCTTTTTGATTTATACCACCAATGGACTCCAGCAACCTGTTTTGTAAGAGAGCCTTAGCTGATTCACAAGAAAAGATAAAAAAAAGGGCTTGCAAATTTATCATATGCATTCAAGAGTTTACTTTTGCTGCTAACTTCACATTGCGACCTAAGAATACATTGTTGGCTTCTTCCAGGATATCATCACCATGGGTCAACAACTTGTTGGAATACCATGTCAGAAAAAATTTCCCTTTCTCTGTTTCATAAGTTCCCCCTGATTTGAAGAATTTCGTAGATTCAGGCACGTCATTCGATCTCCCAGCATTATTTGGAAGCTTCCATTCGGGATGGCCTGCCCTTGCTGCAGCCTCTTTGAAATCAGCTTTAAGATATTTGTCATAGCACTACAAGATTTCAGACGTATGTAAATAACTATGAGAATTGGAAGGTTTGATTTCATTGATACGAGTAGTGAATATATACCGTCAAGCTTAATCATATTTCACTTTTTTTTTTTAGTTATGTTATTCATGAGAAGTATGTATCAACTTTATTGATAACGCTTTACTAATGCCTAATCCCCGTCAAAGAATCTGAATGATCAAAAGACCATTATTGGAGGTTTTCCCTTTAATCACTTTTTTTTTTATTAACAATATTTGAATCCAAGACTTTAATCAAGAAGATTGAGCTTAGTCCCACACATATCAACAACTAGTTAGTTTATTTTTGTTATTTACTTCAATGAAATACTCATAATTTGATGGAAGAAAATCACTTTTAACACACTTTCTAACACGTTTTCTCTTAAATACGCTATCTCTAATTAGTTGAAATTTATTAGAAAATGTAAAATTTAATGAATCTCACATTTCATTTAATAATTCTCCTAATTTTGTAATTTTTAATAGATTCTGACCGATGAAAAGACAAATGCATTAAAGAGTACGTTATTAAACTCCTCTGCGATGGAATCATGCATAAATAGCTACAACAGAACTCCAGACTTCACCTGAAATTCTCCGATACCAGGAAATCTCCACCCTAGATCTTGTGTGTAAGATGGATATCTAAGTTCTCCCGCAGGGCCAAGTCCTACTTCAATGTCTATCAAGAGCTCAGATTCAAGAAAGTCTTCCATATTATCTCTAAAGCTCTGCATGTAATCAGTGTAGAGCTGTATCACATGAGAAACGATCAATTAGTAACCAAAAAGATCAACAAATTTCTTTTGGGATTGTTTTGTGATATGCCGCTTTCAATTCATGATAATGTATCCAAAATGGATAATTGGACGCGCTAAGAAATATAGTAATAGTATTAGTGACAAAACTAGCTGCAACTAGAGTTTAAATTATTTCTTGTTAACACAAATTAATCTTTGGTTGGACCAGTTTCGAAATACTGTGAGTATTAGAAAGAAAAGAAAATAACATGTAGGATATGAAATTTTTCAAGAAACTTACCTGAATGGGAGTTCTTCCATGAAACAAAGGCTGGTGGTCAACGCCAAGGGATAGACATTCCTTGTTCCTGACACCTTTGCGGTTGGTGTAAAAGATATCAGGGTTTGACTTTCCAACGTCAAGTACCCATTTAGGGAGCGGGATGAAAACAGAATCTCCCACATTTCCCCCACATTGGTGGAATGACATTATAGCTTGTAGCTTCAATTTGCAATCTTGAACCAATTTAAACAAGGTCCTATAAGCTGACCAATCATACTTCTTAGGACCCTTAGATTCTACTATACCCCACCACACATCAACCATAACCCCATCAACACCAGCTTCATGTAACTCCCAGAGTTGGTTCTCGAGTTCCTCTCTGTCTTTTAAGACATTGTCATTTGTAATAACTCCTAGCTGGAAGCAACAATCACATTTTAAAAATAGAACACAACACCTAGATATGTAGCATGGGTATGTACACTTAAATTTAAGGTTTATTGACTTACAGGGAGCATCACATACACTGGTACATAACTCGAAAGCATTGGATCTTTGTACATTGTACGACTACCTGCCTGCATTTTATGAGCAAAATTTACTATGATATGTGGATGAATTTGGAGATCCTACATGTTTTCATTGAACTATTTTCTATCAAAAAATCAGTCTTCTGATCATTATACAACATTTCTTTGCTTGCCTTATTTTGGCAGAAGGAAACATGCATGAATCCCCTTGCCCCCTGTGCTCTTTAGATCGTGGAAATTTTCATATACAACGACATACTTTTATACACTGTTGTTTTATTTATGAAAAGTGTAACAAATTAGTAATGGTAATATAGATCGAGGTCGAAGAAGAAATTATAGAAAGCAAAAAAATTAAGAATAATTTTATCTTTTTTCCCCTACAATTATTGTTCCTTAAAAATAATACTCCATTTATTCTTTATTTATTATAAGATATATTTAACCGAATAACATGAATCAATGTAAGTGACTATATTAGTTGATTATTGAATTTATAAAATAAAATTATGATTTATTAATTTTATCATTTTTATTTATTATTAAATTTTTATGAGAGATGTAAAGATATTATTCTATATAAAACTTTATATACTAATACCAATAAAAAGAATAAATGACAATTAGAAAGTTTAAAATGTGAAAAACAATACATACTCACAATCTTTAATAAAAATAAAATTAATGCTTTAAAAAAATTGTAAAATACCTTATAAAAACGAGTAACAACTCCTTTTAAATTGTGATTTATAATAAGGACAGAAGGAAATATCATTTAAGAAGATTTTAAACAATACTTAATTCTTATTAGTTATTTTATTATTTTTAATAAATTATATTAATCATACTATAAAAAAGAGTACTGTCCTATAAACTTTCATTTTAAAACTCATTTAAAACATGACGTATTGTTCAACTCGATTATTCTAGTTAGTTTTTGACCTTAAAATAAAGTCTGGGTTCTCTCATTGTCACATAATTAGTGAGATCATTTTTAACATTACTAATAGATCATTTTCAAATAACATTAATTATGGACTATCACTCAAATGGGATACAAATTCGGGTTAGGATCATATTATGGTGAATTCGATGTGTGATATCAAACTTTGTATGATCCAAAGAAAATGAAAAAAATAAAAATACGAGAATTATTGTTGTCCTGAACCATTAAAGAATCATCGGTCTCACCCAGCTACTCTTGCCACAATTATAGAGCCTACTGTTACTATGTTTACTTGTTACGAATGAAAACAAGAATAATGGTATACCTCTGATTCAGCACTTGCACCTTTTCTTAAGGCCACTCCAACATCCCATTGTTTCTTGAGGTGGCCACAATCCAATTTGAAGAAAGCATGTGTTATTTTGGGCTTCCTTGCTCTCTCTACTCGTATAGCTCTACTCCTCTCTGACATTTCATGTTGGAAATTATACTTTCCTTGAATCAGTGGCGTGAGTCTTGTTCCCATTCCACTCTGTGCTGCACATACGCTCTCCATTCAACACTTCTTGATAGTAATTGCATGTAGCTGGCACGAACTATGCAATGAGAGAAAAATGTAGGAACAATCAGTAATGCTTTTGATTGCGTCACTTTACACTGAATATATTAATTTTGTTAGTGTATTAATTAATTAATGCTAGTTTATAACCAATTCAGGAACGTACACACAACACAAATGGACGTGGTCTGTTAGATATTTCTTTTGTATGTTTTCTTTTACTTCGTCAACAATGTCCTAGGGTTTAGGAGTCAGTTTTATGGACCAGCAGAATGTGGCTATGTTTCCAAAAATTTAGGAGAAAGTTAGCACATTTAAATTTGAGATTCTGGTCAGTCAGATGAAGAGAAAAATAAATCTATTGGAGTTGAAATTTTAATTTATAATTTCTTATTATTATAATTATTAATATTTTAATCTTATAAAAAGATTTGTTATATATATAATTATGGATATTAATATATATTCAAATAGTTTTATATTTTTTACACATATTTTATATTGTTTTAATAATATACATATAACTTTAATATTATTAAAAACAATTATAATAATATAAATTAAAATTTGTAATTATTAGTTTTTTCTTTAAAATAAGTTAATAAATATTTAATCAATGTAAACATTTTTCACAATTAATTTTAATACAAGCTTAAAATTATAGACTTAAAATGCACTTATGGTCATTTAACTATCAAAATTTTGTGATTTTGATTTCCAAGTTTCAATTGGGTGAAGTGAAAAGGCTTAAGATAGTATGAATCTAAGTGATCATTGAAGATCACTTCATTCATCAAGTTATTGATGACGTAAGAGAAGTAATTATCATAGGAAACTAAACTTTCTTAATTGTTTCTTTGCATTTTATTATAAATTTTGCCTAAACCCTAAACCCTAAACTTGGGTAAATTGCTTGAAAAAGTAATTCAAAGAATACTTAGGTTTAAGTCAAAAGTGGCTTGTTGAAAGAATACTTGTATCTTTTTAAGATAGTGAAATTCAATCTAATTTGATTGAAATCAGAATGTAGTCTCGATAGTTGAGATAAACAAGTTTAAAATTTACCTTGTGTTTCATCTACATCTTCGCTGACACTCTTTATTACCAGTGTTATTACTTCACTACTTGAAAAAGTGAAATTTTTTTATAGATATTATTCAACCACTTCCTTCTAGTGTCTGTCTTTTGTCTACAACTATTTAAATTTTTTGCATCCTGTGTATACACACACACACATATATATATAGAGGAGGTATCCTTTTACTCTAAGAGTAAGTCTACCTATACTTACTTCATTCAATAACTCATGTTCTACATCAAATTTCAACGATCCAACAGTTCAATTTTAAGTTCTTAATGCATAGATCAAATCTGTAAAATTTTTAAAAAATTGAAAATCATTTAATACTTCATTTCATTAATTCAAATTAACGGATAATCATAAAATCATTTTATACATTGATTCGATTTAATGAAACGAAGTATTAAATAATTTTCAAATTTTTAAAAAATTTGCATATTTGATCTATGCATTAAGAACTTGAAATTGAACATAGTAAGTCTAAGCAGACTTACTTCTAGAGTAAAAGGATCTCTCTCTCTCTCTCTATATATATATATATATATTACATAGATATCCAGGTACGACATGTTAATCCTAGAGTAGTAGATTCTTTTAGTTTTTCACTACGTTATTACTATGTTGTATTAAGTGTGATGACTTAACAAATAGTTACAAATGGCACAAGATAAATCCTATTATGAAAAGTCATGTTTCTTTTACCTTAGTTTTTATTTTTCTTCTTATTTATTTTGATGGTTTTAAAACAATTGACTTGAGATTGAGACATTTACATATTATTTGGTGCAAGCCTTGTGGTGAAAATTATAAGTCTATTGTTGTTGAACTCTAATATGTAGCTAGGATTATGTGTGTTTCTTTCTATGTGGTATGATGGATTGTGAGAGCTCTCAAAGCCTAACTAGGTGCGATATGAGATCCAAAAATATTATTGTGAGTGTTTGCATTGCTACTTGTTTAATTGATTTTGCTTTAATTTCTTAGTCAAGTGATTGCATTTGTATGTTTAGAAAGAGTCAAGACATTATTTGAAAAATTTTAAGCAACTAAGCCAAATAGCTAACCCAATTAACTTATTAATTTTTAATATTTGCTACCCTGTTGAGTCAAATGCTTCAATTTTTTCTCAGTTTATTGAAATCTCTTAACCAAATGAATAATAATTATTACCTATGCCTTGGGGACTAGTAGAACAAATGAGTCATGATGTATGAGTAAGGGCTCTAAGTTTTGCATTGATGTATGCATGGATAATAATCAGAAAATGTTAATATGGCTAGATTTTCAAGTGAACAAAAAAGTAATTTCCACCTCTGCTCGTAAATAAAGTTAAGGCTTAAATTCACTTATCAAATGTACAATTTTAGTTCTCCAAATTTTTTTATTACAAATTTGGTCTCTTTTATTTTTAAAATTAAACAATGTTGGCCTATTATAATAACATGTCATTCAAAATTAAATAAAAATATTAAAATGGGGACATAATGACACCACCCGACTAGTTAATCACATATGAAAATAATTCTATTAAAATTTTAGAATAAAATTATTTTAATGGATTATAAATTTTAATTAAAATAAAAAAGAAACATATCATATATGTGGTAAAAATCAATGTTGTTACTTATATCTAAGTTAGTGTGACTAATTAACTATCATATAATGTCACTCACATTTCATATCAGTATTTTCTATTTAATTTTTTGCGGCATATTCATGGTGAACTAATATTATTTAATATTTTGAAGTTGAGAGACCAATTTTGCAATAAAAAAATTTAGGAACCAAAATTGCACATTCAAGATACTATCGGAACCAAAATGGATATAAACCTAAGTCAAATGAAAAGAAATAAGAAAAGAATTTGGAAATATTCTCAAAAAAGAATATATATATATATATATGTATTAATTTGGAAAAATAATTTTGATTTTTTTATACAAACATTATAAATTAATTTTGATATCTTCAATATAAATCAAATTGATTTTCAAAGTAATTTGAAAATATTAGGTACAAAATTATAAATATACAACATTAATATGTTCCTCGTTTAATGATTTGTTCAGAAAGATTATAAGTTTGCATAAACTATTTATTTAACTGTCATTTAACTATATTAATAATGTGATTGTAATAAAAAAAACAATTATTATTCATTTATCATCAATAGTTGATTGAGTTTGAAAAGTTGATAGATATAAAAGAATGAAAATGGTGTGGCATAATGACAAAGAGTTTTGTATAAGAAAAATTTAGGGAACTTGTAAGCAAACTATTTGAAGCTATTTTCTCTTCTCCCACTACAAGAAATTCATTAAATAGAGACTTATTTAGAGACCAAATTTATATAGTCATTTTAGCAACTTATTTAAATACTATTTTAGAGATAGATTATAGTTGGTCCCTAAATCAATCTCTATTGTCATTAATATTTTTAATGTAATTAGAGACCAAATTTTTAGTAGCTAATAGTTTAAAAAATATTATTTATTTATTTAGGTACAACATTTTTAGTCTCTAATTAAAATATAATTTGAGACAAAATTTTTGGTCACTGTTAAAACACTTTAGAAACCAATATTTTAGTCTTAAGATGCACTAAAATTATAGACTAAATTTTCTAGTCTCTAATTGTAATATTACTAGAGATTGATTTTTTGGTCACTATTAACTCAATTTAAATACCATTTTTTAGTATCTAATTGTTCTATATTAGAAACCAATGTATTAGTCTCTAATAAAAATATAACAAGAAACTAATATTTCAGCTAAATTATTTTAGACACAAAAATATTTGATCTCTAAAAAAAATACACTAGTAAATAATAATTAATTTTTTATTCACTATTAGCTCATTTTAGATTTTCTTTAGTATCTAATACAGAAATATAATATACAACTAATTTTTCACTCATTGTTAATTTATTTTAGATAAATTAGATTCTCATTAAAATACACTAAACATTGATATTTTTTTGTCATTGTTAACTCATTTTAGAAACTATTTTTTTAAGTATATAATTAAAATTAATAAAATTAAAATATTAATATTATTTATATAATATTTTGTTGTATAACTATCAAAGCGTAATCTTTAAATTTATATTTTATCTAATTTATCAAAACTCAAAATTTTCTAAAGTGTATGACATGAATATATATCGATACCATTATTATCTGATTAATTATCTACCAAAAAGAAAATTAGAAACCTAAAGCATCAAAGATCTAGCCTGTAAGAGATGGGTTTCAAGGGCTACTGAATAGTTTAATAATAATGAACAAAGGTGAACCTTTTGAAAAAAAACATAAAAAAAATGAATCAATACATTTTCGTTTTGACACGAAGAGCCTCCACGAGAAACGAAACTACGCGTCGAGTATAGGAGCATCCACGATTTTTTCTTGTCCACGTGTGGAGTGTTCATCTTTAAACCCTCACCCTCACCTTTACCTTCTAATTTCGATTCTCGTGTTTAGGTCGCTAAGGAGGTCACCTTCCTTGAAGAAGCTTCATTTGAATCGATGTGTTCATTCAGTGCTACGAAAGGTGCGCTGGTTTCCGATCAAGAGCTGGATTATGCCACCGCATTTGAGCTTTACTGGATTATCTCGTGTTTGTGTGTTTTGATTGTATTCTTGTGGATTTGAATTTCGATTTGGGGCTGATTGTTGGTGTTTGGATGTTGTTCTTGTACAGGTGCTTGATTCGATATGCGATGAAGGGCTTCAGGCAGTGGCTGTGGCTTGCAAGGACTTTATAAAGAGATTAACATAAGTGAGATTCAATTAGTTCTTTATGTATACAAAGTTGATTATTGAAGTGTTAGCAAATATCAAAATACGGAGTCATGTTTTAATCAGGAAAAAATTGACTTGAGAAACGAAAAAAAAAATTAAGAGAACTGAGACTTATTGATATGCATACGTGAGAACAAAAGAATTCACTTTAAGTTGCTTCCTTCAATTCATTGAGGATTTTGATGTTTGCAATTTGCACTATGTACTGACTTTGATACCAAATAAAGTATAGACCCTAAGCTTAGAGATCTAATTGTGGATCGCTTTTATTTTTGTGTTAACAAACTTCTGGTTTAGGTTATAAATAAATCTAGAAATGAAAACGAGATTAAGTTCAATTATTTTGAAGCTGAATTCCAATATTCAATTACCAAACCCCAATAAGGGTCAAGCCACAAATATGATATTCACCTATGTTTGCTAATTTATGTACTGCTTTGTGTGACAGAATTGCTTATATTCGAAAAAGTTAAACAATTATTGTAGAGAGTTTTAGGCTTTTAGTACTTTTCTATTGATAAAACATTTATATTGCAAGGTTTTATTGTATTGATTATTGATTATGTTTGTCTTTTGCATTTGTGGTGTTTACTAAGAAGCATACTAAACGCTTCCTAAAAGGTTGCCTTTCAAAATCGTATTGGACATTCATTAGACATGTGATGTGTAATTGAGACTTATATTTAAGAGTGTGACAATTCAAATTCTAATTTTGCTGTATGACAATCTTTGCCTTTTGTGTCCATTGTGTGGGTGCATGACTCTTATTGTTGTATGACTATTCAAATTCTTGTACTGAATTTTGTGTGCCTCATGATTGCAGGAAATGGGAAAAATGCTTGACAAGGAAGAAGTTAGGTGTTGAGATTTCCGTTGAAGTACTTTTGTTATAATTGTAAATCAGTTTAATTCCATCAACGGTCTCAAACACGGCAAGTATATTAGCTTCTTAGGTTTCCAATCCTAAGAGTCTTCAACTTTCCACTCTTCCTCAATACCTGCACAAAAAATGAGGTAGATTAAGGTATTGTTAGATGAATTTGGGTTAGTTATATCTGCACACAAAATGAACCAAAAAGAGAACAATTATATTGCAATGGTTCAAAGGATGAGTGGAATTTGTTCAATAAGTCTCATCCAAGAAGAGGTAAAATTGAGACTTAATATTAGGCTTTCCAAGGAACCATCTTTATGTAATGAAACAATTAATATTGTTGTTCGAATGCTAGATGGTCATCATTTAAACATCGCTTTCTCAAATAGATAGTGAGGATTGTATGTTTGGTGGATATTATGTGTAGTTTTAAAAAATTAAAAAATTTAATTACTTAATTTTCATGTTATTATATAGTGTATGATGACTTTTTGCATAATAGTTTAACATAAAATAAATATGTGAAGTAAATAAATAATTAATATTATACTTAAATAATTATTATGTTTTAGTAGAAAAATAATTGAAGTTAGGTATGTGGTGAATTTGAATAAAGAAGATAATAAATATGAAAGAAAATGGCATAAATAAGAAAGATGAATAAGGAAAAATTTTAGCGACTACTTTTTTTATATATTATATCAGTCACTTTGAGTCATTGAAAAATGGGTCACTAATTCAATTATTTTAAAATTTGGTCACTAAAATGGTTACTTTAGAATTAGTTATTATATCAGTCACTAAGTTGATTATTACAAAATAAGTTGCTAAGTTAGTTATTATAAAATAGGTTACTAAATTAGTTGTTATCAAAATTGGTATCTAAATTGATTACTATAATATTAGTAATTAAAAGAGTTGCTATAAAATTGGTCAATGAGATGGTCATTAAAAATTGGTCAATAAATTGGTCATTGTAGAATAAGTTACTAAGTTGATCAATATAAAAATCGCAAAATTGGTCATAAAAAAAATGTGATTGTAATAAATTAAAAAAAAACAATTATTATTCATTCAATAGTTGATTGAGTTTGAAAAATTGATAGATATAAAAGAATGAAAATGGTGTGGCATAATGACAAAGAGTTTTGTATAAGAAAAATTTAGGGAACTATTGTAAGCAAACTATTTGAAGCTATTTTCTCTTCTCCACTTCGTATTGACATTGTACAAGGTTTGAAACAGAATTAATCATATAATTTCTTGCTCTTTGTTTTCAGTTTGAATACACGTAAAATAGTAGTGACTATATGACGAAGAAAACCAGTAGCATCACTAACAATGATGTCTATTTCCTTGTACCATGGATAAGGCGACATAGGTTTCGTTGCTTCAAGAAGAGCCTTCATCGGGATTTTTGGCTCTGACCGTTCCATAGGAATTGTGAAATGATTGTATCTCTCTGGGTCTGGACAATAATCCTGTAACATTCTTACAAAATTGTAAAAAGAATATTTCATTACTTCAAATAACACATTATTGTCATCTTTCATTAAATGAAGTAAAAGATGCTTACCAAATCAGCATGCATCTTTCTGACAAAGGCTTTGAATATATCGAAGTTTGTTTGCTGTAATAATTTTTCCGACAAACGGAGATATGTCACACCGTACATTTTTAGTGTTGGAGCCCCCAATTTATTTACGCCGTTTGGTCTGGCATTTAAAAGGATTTGATCGTAAGCTTCATGATCATATCTTGAAAGTGCATTTTCTCCTGCAACTTCAAGGTTCTCCATCCAACCTCCGCTAAGGACCTGAATGAAAAGATGCACATTGAATAAAGTTAAAGAAATGTTATCAGCAAACTCTCTACTTTAGTTAAAATTTATTAAAAAAATATAAATACTAGTAGATTCCACTTTACTTAATGAGTTTTTTCAATTACTACTAAAATGTGTTAAAAAATATTTTTAGAAAGTTTGATGACACATGTTGTATGTCAAACCTTTAAGTTTGTGTTAAAGCAAGGGAAGGATTTAACATTAGGAAGCAGCGAAGTGGATCTTCAAATATCTAAAGGGCACAAGTTTATTACTATTTGTTGGAAATCAAGTGTTGAATCAATTTTGGTTATGTAGTACATGGCAGCAGTTAAGGCTGATAAAGAAATCTTATAACTTATAGGGCTAATAAAGGAGTTGGACATTGAGCAAGATATTGCTACAGTCAAACCACTGGTACACAATACACATTTTACGTCGGTTATTTTGGGGGTTTTTAAGTTAGAAAAACGTTCGACGTAGAAGTGGGAGACGTAAATTTACGTCGGGACACGAAAACTGACGTAAATTTACGTCGGACATGACAACGTCCGACGTAAATAAGTCATAAAAATTTTTTTAAAAAAAAAGAAAAACGAATGCAAGCAGAACGGCCCGTTCTGTTTGGAGAACGGCCTGTTCTGCTTGGAGAACGGCCCGTTCTATTGAAGAACGGCCCGTTCTCCAAGCAGAATGGGTCGTTCTGCTTGATAGACCCAGCTCCAAATCCGGAGTTGGTTACTTCCTTCTCCAGCTTCAAAAACTCGAAATGCAGCACAAACATTATTACAAAAAAAACATCCCAGAAAACACAAACTTGAAAGAAGATTCTACCTCATAGAAAAACAAGATAGTGAGATCCCCTAACCTCAAATATGTAAACTTCGTGGTTCCAAGCTGAACGAGAAGCACGGGAGAAGAAATCTAAGTTGTTGAAGAGGAAGAAGGAGAAGCTTGAAATGAATCCCTGAAAAGCAACTCTAAAGGAGAAGAGGAAGGCCCTACCACTTCAGCCTTTGCGCGCGGGAGGTGAATTTTTGAAATCTATAGCTACTGCGCGCACATGCACCTTCTTTTAATAACAGCTATTGGTTATTTACGTCGGCCCTAATTGGGTCCGACATAAATTTTAATATCTATGTCGGATACAATGCGTAGCCGACGTAGATGTTAAAATTTACGTCGTACCCAGTTAGGACCGATGTAAATAATCTACCAAAATTACGGTACATGCCACCGCATTTTTATAACGTCGGTAGTGCCGTTTTCTGACGTCATTTAGGTGATGTAAAATCCTCTTTTTGCACTAGTAAATTGTTATTTATTCGAAAAAGAATGTTGAGTGTATCATGCCAGAACTAAGCATATTGATATAAGCTTCTATAAGATCAAAGAATTAATGACGTTTTTTCATTTGTCATATACTTCTTAATAAGATTCATACTTCAAAAAATGTAACTCAATGTTAACCAAAACAATTATAATTGACAAGTTTAAGTATTGGTTGGACTTTTTGAATGTTGCCCAGTGCTATACATGATTGGAACCCACCAACTCAGGTGACATATGAGGCATACTTGCTGTTTAGCTTTCACGGGACTGAATATTTGCTAGGATTTTTTTTATTTTTATTAACAATTGGTGAACAAAAATTGTGAATAAAACTAATAGAGGGAAAATTGGCAATTGAATTTATGAATAGGATTAAAATTAAATTAAAGGCTAGGAAAAATACAATTCAACTTTAAAGTTTTTTATTTAAATTCTTTACAACTTTTTTTTGTATCAAATTTTTATCAACTTAAACCCTCTATCGGATAAACATCATAAAGATTTTTTTAAGGTACACCAAATTAGTTCTTTGGGGATATATGCACGATGCGCATTCTTATTGCTACGATAGTATACGCCTGCCCTTTTAAGTGTGTAATTTAAACCACATTTTTCTCTAGGTTATTTCACTCTACGACTTATCCACGTAATACTAATCGACAGTGTGACGCATGTTACATCGTGGATAACTTGTTTCCCATAATAACAATATATTCGTGTCTTGCAACTTGAACTACATATCAATCACAAGTTCTCTTGATTAGTTGAAGGAATTATATTATAATTTAAGTTGAAATAAATAAATTACCCGCTGAACAAGTTCTTGGACTCCACTTTTGGCTTCAGCTGGTTGCTCGTGATTTCTCATCTCAAGACATGTAAAATTTAAAATAGCTTTGTGTCGTGAGAGCATCTTTGCTATGGGTCTGTATCCATCTCTATGATCTAAGTTGTAATATCCTGAAGTAAGCTCTGCAGCATGGCTTTCTGTTTTATACCACCAGTGAATTCCAGCAACCTGTTTTACAAAGAACCAACTGTCAGTTGATTCATGAAGAAAAGAAAGGTCTAGCTAATTTATGTATGCATTTAAGAATTTACTTTTGCTGCTAACTTCACTTTGCAACCTAGGAACACATTGTTGGCTTCATCGAGGATCTCATCACCATGGGTCAACAACCTGTTGGAATACCATGTTAGAAAAAATTTCCCTTTCTCAGTTTGATAGGTTCCCCCTGATTTGAAAAATTCTGTTGATTCTGGTTCGTCATTCGTTTCCCCAGCGTTATCTGGAAGCTCCCATTCAGGATGGCCTGCCTTTGCAGCAGCCTCTTTGAAATCAGCTTTAAGATATTTGTCATAACACTGCAACATGTCAGAGGCAAGTAAATAAGTTAGAGAATTGGAAGGTGTGTTTTTATTGATTCAAGTGACAAATCCCAACAAATGCTATTAAGACAAGAGAAGGAGTTAAATTGAATGACTATGAAGACAATGATTTGGGTCAAGAAATTGATGTGCAACAACTTGATGATACGACATTTCAGAAATCAAGTTTTGAAGATCATGAAACTAAAATTTGTAATGTTCATGACAAATCTCAAAGAAAAGTATTAGATTTATGTGATTTTTCTTCATTTAAATTTTGAATTTTGAATAAATTTTAAATAGAATATTTGTTATTGTTATAATTTTATCTTTTATAATTTATTTTCAGTTATTCAATATAATAATCTCAATAAATAAAGTTATTACTATATAAGATTTGTTAAAAATTTTAAATTGATTATAAGCTTGTACATAAACATCCTTTTCTATGAGTTTTTATGATAATTTTAATAATAATTTTTCATTTTTAATTTTACTTTTAATTTGCATGCAAAATTCAATTTTTTACATTTTTCACAAAATATTTCCAACAATTATGCTTATCTCTTATTGAGACAAATTACATTTTTTTTTTATTTTGGTACTATTTTCTAGTTGTTGTTGTATATTAATTAACATGTCATTCTATTTCATTTGATTTCAATCCCTTGCTCCAAATAAAATAACAATTTATGTAAACTAGATGTGTCTTCTCTTGGACACGTTGTTAGGAACATGAAACAGGACACCTTTCATCTGCTCAGAACCCAGAGTCATTGTAACTACATACCCACCATCAAATTTCTCATCAATTGATCCAGAAACAACAACATCATTTGCCTCCACTGGACTACCTGCATATCAGAAAGCAAATCCTTATCACAGTTATACATGAGAAGCATATCCACTTGCTGTGATTAGATGACACAAATCTAATAAGCAATGTCAAGCGAAAATTAAAGAAACTAATCATCTAAGAACAGCAATTTGTTTCATTACTCCCTACATCTATTTCCATGTCACATTAAAATATTTTACAGATAATTGTTTAATTGTTTATCTATGTACTAGTAGTACCAGTTCCTAACACAACAATTAACATAAATCTGAACTTAGATAGGTATGGTACTTTTTACTCATTTTCCTTCCAAACCTTTTTTCCTTTTCACTTTCTTTTCTAAACTAAACACACCATAAATGTTGACTTACCCTGATCAGGTGAATCATTCACAGCAGCAACTTCCGGAATGCTTGTGGAGCAATAGGAATGGCCTGATTGACCTCTAATCATAAGATCTGGATATATGAAAGTATTGATTAGTCATAGATGAATAAAAAAAAGAACAACATATACAATTAGAGAGGAGAAAAGAAAATCATTTTTTCTTACTAGGAATTGGGGGAGGAATGCCTTGCCTCCCAAAATAATACACTTGCTCAAAGTGATAAAGCATGGATATATATGTATGTATATATATATATATATATATGTATGTATGTATTAATTTTGAAAAATAATTTTTATTTTTTTATACAAACATTATAAATTAATTTTGATATCTTCAATATAAATCAAATTGATTTTCAAAGTAATTTGAAAATATTAGGTACAAAATTATAAATATACAACATCTTTAATATGTTCCTCGTTTCACTAGTGCAAAATAGGGCTAGTACGTCACCCAATTTACGTCCGAAACTCGAAACACTGACGTTGTAAAAATGCGGTGGCAGTTTTGTACATATAGGGAGACTAATTTACGTCGGACAAGAGGGGATCCGACGTAAATTAGACAATCTACGTCGAAGATTCCACTGTCCGACATAAATTTACGTCAGACCCCCCCTTGTCCGACGTAAATTTACGTCGGAATCCCCTAGTCCGACGTAAATTTTCAGCTAAAATGGCCAAAATTCCATTTCAAAACATTAATTATGGACTATCACTCAAATGGGATACAAATTCGGGTTAGGATCATATTATGGTGAATTCGATATGTGATATCAAACTTTGTATGATCCAAAGAAAATGAAAAAAATAAAAATACAAGAATTATTGTTGTCCTGAACCATTAAAGAATCATCAGTCTCACCCAGCTACTCTTGCCACAATTATAGAGCCTACTGTTACTATGTTTACTTGTTACGAATGAAAACAAGAATAATGGTATACCTCTGATTCAGCACTTGCACCTTTTCTTAAGGCCACTCCAACATCCCATTGTTTCTTGAGGTGGCCACAATCCAATTTGAAGAAAGCATGTGTTATTTTGGGCTTCCTTGCTCTCTCTACTCGTATAGCTCTACTCCTCTCTGACATTTCATGTTGGAAATTATACTTTCCTTGAATCAGTGGCGTGAGTCTTGTTCCCATTCCACTCTGTGCTGCACATACGCTCTCCATTCAACACTTCTTGATAGTAATTGCATGTAGCTGGCACGAACTATGCAATGAGAGAAAAATGTAGGAACAATCAGTAATGCTTTTGATTGCGTCACTTTACACTGAATATATTAATTTTGTTAGTGTATTAATTAATTAATGCTAGTTTATAACCAATTCAGGAACGTACACACAACACAAATGGACGTGGTCTGTTAGATATTTCTTTTGTATGTTTTCTTTTACTTCGTCAACAATGTCCTAGGGTTTAGGAGTCAGTTTTATGGATCAGCAGAATGTGGCTATGTTTCCAAAAATTTAGGAGAAAGTTAGCACATTTAAATTTGAGATTCTGGTCAGTCAGATGAAGAGAAAAATAAATCTATTGGAGTTGAAATTTTAATTTATAATTTCTTATTATTATAATTATTAATATTTTAATCTTATAAAAAGATTTGTTATATATATAATTATGGATATTAATATATATTCAAATAGTTTTATATTTTTTACACATATTTTATATTGTTTTAATAATATACATATAACTTTAATATTATTAAAAACAATTATAATAATATAAATTAAAATTTGTAATTATTAATTTTTTCTTTAAAATAAGTTAATAAATATTTAATCAATGTAAACATTTTTCACAATTAATTTTAATACAAGCTTAAAATTATAGACTTAAAATGCACTTATGGTCATTTAACTATCAAAATTTTGTGATTTTGATTTCCAAGTTTCAATTGGGTGAAGTGAAAAGGCTTAAGATAGTATGAATCTAAGTGATCATTGAAGATCACTTCATTCATCAAGTTAGTGATGACGTAAGAGAAGTAATTATCATAGGAAACTATAAACTTTCTGAATTGTTTCTTTGCATTTTATTATAAACTTTGCCTAAACCTTAAACCCTAAACTTGGATAAATTGCTTGAAGAAGTAATTCAAAGAATACTTAGGTTTAAGTTAAAAGTGGCTTGTTAAAAGAATACTTGTATCTTTTTAAGATAGTGAAATTCAATCTAATTTGATTGAAATCAGAATATAGTCTCGATAGTTGAGATAAACAAGTTTAAAATTTACCATGTGTTTCATCTGCTGACACTCTTTATTACCAGTGTTATTACTTAACTACTTGAAAAAGTGCAAATTTTTTATAGATATTATTCAACCACTTCCTTCTAGTGTCTGTCTTTTGTCCACAACTATTTAAATTTTTTGCATCCTGTGTATACACACACACACACATATATATATAGAGGAGAGATCCTTTTACTCTAGGAGTAAGTCTACCTATACATCTTCGGTGAGACGTCTCATCGATGTCGTGTTTTCGACAGTGAGCAAAAAGCGCAGGAGACAGCAACCAACCTCGACCTGATTGACGAGCTCAAAGAAGAAGCCCGGATCCATGAAGAAGTTTGTAAGCTCCGAGCCTCCAGAAGGTACAACACGCGAGTCCAACCTCGCTCCTTCAGGGTTGGCGACTTGGTGTGGTGACTTTTAGGAGACGCCCGTAGGGATTCGTCAGAAGGGAAGCTCGCGCTTAACTGGGATGGCCCACTCCGAGTCACAGAAAACTTAGAAAATGGAGCATACCGACTAAAAGAGCTCAGCGGCAAAGCCATCCCGAGAACTTGGAATGCCATGCATCTAAAGTTCTACTTCAGTTGAAATTGTACGAATGAGCTGTGCACTCTTTTCCCGACTCAGTCTTTTGTCCCAAGAAACAGAAAAATGGGTTTTGGCTGAGAGGGTTTTTAATGAGGCACACCCATAACATTAATAAAATGACTCATTCCATTCATGACTTCTTGATTTTACCCTGTTTTATTATAAAATGCATTATCTTAAGTCGAGGTCGAGTTCGAACCTTAGTGCGAATTATTTTACTTTACGCTGAGGTCGAATTCGAACCTTAAGAACAAAATCTTAACTCGAGGTCGAGTTCGAACCTCGGTACACATTATTTTACTTTACACTGAGGTCGAGTTCGAACCTTAGTATGAATTGTTCTATCTTATATGAGGTCGAGTTCGAACCTTAGTATGAATTGTTCTATCTTACCCGAGGTCGAGTTCGAACCTTAGTATGAATTGTTTCATCTTAGATTAATTAAATATAATATAATTATTATTATTGGTAATATAATTATTAAATATATTATTATATTTTTATAACGGTTCGGATACACCGAAATGAGAGGGATCCAAAGATAGTATAAGTATGAGATTGTATATTTGAGGATGACTTAAATGAATTAATTTGTACTACCTATACTGACAATATACATATGCCTTTCTGTAGCTTATCTCATAAGAACTCCACAGTTAAGCGTGCTTGACTTGGAGTAATATAGGGATTGGTGACCTTCTGGGAAGTTTCCCAAAAATTGTGTAATTAAGGACAAAACATGCTGAAAAGTGAAGTATTGTGAAATAGAATCCTTGAGAGGCCAAATATGAGTATTTCGTAGTGACCAAATTTGCAACGTCTATAAAATTTAATAAAATAAAATAAAAATCTTTAACGACCGATTTAGCGATCGATTTATTCGGTCACTATTTGGTCCCCATACACTTCAGCGACTAAAATCATTGCAACCATTTTGCGACCGAAATTTTTGGTCGCTAAACCAAAATTTTCAGCGACCGAAAATTTTTGGTCGCTATATAGCTTTGCGACTAGGGTTTTTGCGACTACTTAAATTCGGTCGCTAATTCGGTCGCTAAGGCAAATAGCGACCGATTTTAGCAATTTAGCGACCGATTTTGGTGGTCGCTAAATCCAATTTTTTTTGTAGTGTTAGTGCTCGCCCTTTCAAAGATGTTGGGAAGATCCGACATAAAGTAGTGTCATCATCAGTTGTGCTGAGAGTGACTTGGGTGAGAAAAATGTCCACATGCTCGTCGGGATCAGGAAATTTGGAAATATTCTCAAAAAAGAATATATATATATATATATATATATGTATTAATTTTGAAAAATAATTTTTATTTTTTTATACAAACATTATAAATTAATTTTGATATCTTCAATATAAATCAAATTGATTTTCAAAGTAATTTGAAAATATTAGGTACAAAATTATAAATATACAACATCTTTAATATGTTCCTCGTTTCACTAGTGCAAAATAGGGCTAGTACGTCACCCAATTTATGTCCAAAACTCGAAACACTGACGTTGTAAAAATGCGGTGGCAGTTTTGTAAATATAGGGAGACTAATTTACGTCGGACAAGAGGGGATCCGACGTAAATTAGACAATCTACGTCGAAGATTCCACTGTCCGACATAAATTTACGTCAGACCCCCCCTTGTCCGACGTAAATTTACGTCGGAATCCCCTAGTCCGACGTAAATTTTCAGCTAAAATGGCCAAAATTCCATTTCTCATTCCTGCGCGTCCCACTGTTTACGAAAAGTATCTCTTATTCTCTTATTCTCTAAGTCTCCAAGTGCCTCAGATCATTTGGTCCTATTGCGGACAATGAAGTGGACGAAATACATGCTATTCGAAGTGATCATGATGAAGGAATATGGGAAAACATTCCAACCTAATAGGTTTTTGTTTGTGTATTATTTGTTTTTTTATTAGTTGTTTTGTTGCTATATTGTTATTATCTTTTTTACTTTATTTATCTATTCAGTTAATTCATTGTTTTAATAATGAGAGTTTAATTTTTTCAGGATTATGGAGGATTCAGGGTCTGGCAGTGGAAGGAGGGAAGGTAGATTTGTCACCCGATTGTCTGGGTTCACAGCTGGACGCATTGCTAAGGAGAGGACACCAGTTGAGGTGGATCCTCGTTCTGGCAAGGCATCAGGCCCAAATGCTGCCAAGTTTAAGAGCTATTTGGGAGTCCTAGATCGACGGCATGTTTCTATTATCATTCCATCATGGGATGTCGTTCAGGAGGCTGA